ACCACAATCGTCGTACTGACGAGGTCCAATTGTGGTAACGGTAAGAAACGTATACGACTTAATGGATCGAAACATTTCTTACCCATTACAAATATTTCCATACTCCCATTTCCTTTTTCCACATCTTTCTTTCATCGTTTTTCTTCCCTTCTTCATTTTTTCTACCTCACCATTTTCTCTTTATCCTTTATTAGATGGTCTTTCTTCCCTCCACACTTTTTCCAGTTTACCGGCCTTACATCAGTATTATAAAATTCCCATGAAAAAAAAAAATTAGCCAGTAATTACAATGCAATTTCACTACGGAGCTGATTGTTCTCGATCCTGAGTTTGATATTTTCTCGTATAATTCTCACCGCAGCGCGATGTGCAACCTGGCTCAGATGCAGCTGCAAGAAGGTAACTGTTAAAAAAATTCCCTCTGGGATATGTGCGTTTTGATAAGGACATCTTCTAAAGTAAACTGCAAGGACCAACCAACTTCTGAATCAATTCAAAGGTAGATTTTTTTGAAAAGTGGCATTTTCGCAAGCTATTTTCAATCAACGCTCCGAAAATCAGTAAAAACTAACCGGTAGTTTTCTAATTTCTTCATCTTCCACAGCCGAATCTTGTTCCTCTGCACAGCATCTACCTTCACTCATTTTCGGTTCTGTTGTATGTCTTCTTACAGATCCACCTACAAAAAAAAAAGATCAACTCTTTGCAATTGCTTTCAAACTGCTCGAAATTTTAAGACCGCAATCCGGGGCAAGCCCTGTTAAACCTTACCGAGACAGGCCAGTGTTGGCCGAAATGACTGTAATAAAAATCGGCTACAGGATTTAGCGAAGTAGAGGAAAATCGAGACTTCTATGACATGTCAGATCGAATACGTTAAACCATATATTTTTGGTAAAAAAAATAAAAGAAATCTTATTTTATGGTAAAAAAAAGAAAAAATCTGGCAAAAGTGAACAACCTTTTTTTTCTTCTGTGAATAAACGGCACCCACCTTTTCTGTGTTCACCTACACCATTGAAAGTGCGATTCCTTTTCGGCAATTTCTGGCGGCCCTCATCACTTTCGCTCTGATCTGTCGAATGGCTACAGTCCGAAGTGCCAACTCCAGCATCGTAAGGATCATCAAAAAACGACAAGAAATCGTCTTCGTAAATTCGTTCGGCACGCTCCACAACTGAACAAACTTCCGGTCTAATGTGCAACAGAAAATGCAGAGCCGCAGTGCTTGTGATTAGTTTTCGCAGTCTGTTCAGAAACTGTTCAAACTTACACAGAAAACTTCTGGACCATTAAAATTCTATAAAATTTCGATAATCAACAAGTGCAGAGTTAAGTTTACTAGACCTTGGGCGACTACCGTCCCACCCCTGCATTTTCCTATTGCATGCACGATTGCTGCGGCCCTTGCCGCCTAATACCCTTCGCTGATTGGGCCGCTGTTTCAGCCCCTTCTTGTTTTCTTACAGGGCTTTTTAGGCCCGTACTGCCTTTTGTTTTACTAGAGTCACTGCTAAAACCGTCCACGAAAACGAAACAGCAGCTTTGCCAAGCCCTTCAAGTTCACACAATCAGCTGGCGATGAGTTTTAACCTCCAGCTGAAACTTATCACCAGCTCAGCGTATAAAATTCATTCCTTTCGGATGTTGTCTACTTTCTTGCGAAGGTTAGGCTTTCTTACTTTCTTGCGAAAGTTAGGCCCAAATCAAGTCAAAGTCAGAAACTTCCCCAGTACTTCACTCAATATAACATGTGGAAGCACTTCAAAGTGGCATAGGCGATAATCTCTTATTGTTAAAATCAAAAAAAAAAAACAGAGAGTAATCAAAAAAGCGCTCCAACCTTTACTTAACGAACTTTTCCTTGCTGCACGTAATTCCGCGAATTTTTGCTTCACTAATCCTTTTATCTGAAATTTTAAAATTCCCTCAGAAATCTTCGTGGCATTCCCCAATAATTTTGCTGTAGCAAAAACGGACTTTTTCACGAGCAACATTTCTAGCCGTCTCCGAATTTCTTTGAGGAAACTGCCTGATATGCGCACGAAGCAGTTCGAACCAGGCTGACCGCTTTTCAATATAGTTCGACAATTCTCGCTCATCTCGAATGCGTCTTTCTGCAAAGTTTTTGTTAATCAGAGCTTTTTTGCAAAAATATCCAACTATCCAAACTAAAAAATATAGTTTTTTTTTTTTTTTAAATGAACTTCTGGATAGCCTGAAATCAAAAGTTACCAAAAAATTCGCGTAATTTTTCATCCCAATCGGCAATCTCTTGGTTGATTTTTCTTTCTTCGGGATCATCCGTATCGTCCAAACTCAAACCACTTTTCAACATAGCACGTTTCACTGTAAATACAGGAACACAACTGCTGAGCAAGAAGCAATTGGGAAGGTTTAATTATTTCATAATAAAAATTCTGTCCTTCCTCAGTTGGCATAATCTATCGCTACTGTTATCTGTGTAAATAAAGCACTTCCTTTCTAAAATTTCTTTTTTCAATTCCATGCCTTGTCATACGCTTCCACTGGGTCACTGTTACCATGCTAAACCTCCTTCAGAGGACTTCCAAGCAAGTTGGCAAAGCGCCAGTGTAGTTAAATGAAGTAAACTTAAAACTGGCACAAATTGCATAGCATCGCCGATTTCCTCAATATGCTGCACCTCTTCAGTATATAAATGACTTAAGAAATGTGTACGACTTAATGGACAGGAACATTTCTTACCTACTACAAATATTTCCATACTTCCATTCCTTTTTTTCACCTTGCTTTTCTTTCCTTCTTCATTTTTTAATGGACCGAAACATTTTTTTCCTATTACATATATTTCCATACTCCCGTCCCATTTTTTCACTTCGCTTTTCTTTCCTTCATTTTTTCTATTTCAGCAATTTCTACCTTATCCCTTAATGAATGTACCAAAACAAGCGACGTATGGGCTGCGAAAGAAGGTTACTGATGAAAACAGAAGAGCGAGTACGGGCTGTAATAGGAACAGTAAACGATGCTTGGAGTGTTCCTTCGCATCTCCATAAACAATCAGGCTCTCTATTAGATGAGGAATATGCATGATACCATTGTGATCACGCGAGAAAGTAAAATTCGACAGGAAGGGCATACTGTTCGCCATGCCAACAACCGTGAAAGTCGGGCGTTACTGAGTGGTATCCACGGGAAAGCAAATGATCATCAAGGAGATCACCGAAGAAGAGGCGCACATATATCGAAAAGTTGCTGAATACTAAAACTAGAAACTGCGCCTAGGTTATGGGAACATCCCAACAGTATTCTCAGTAATAGTCCGGAGGGCCTTAATATTCTTGGTATTAGTCACAACACGATAAAAAATATTGCGAGTGCAATATAAAGTGTTTAAAATAACTTAGAAGTATGAAGAGACGCAAAAGGATGAAAAAGAGAAGGATGAGAAGGGGAAAGTCGAAAATCAAATGTATAGAGAAGGCGCCAGAAGTGTAAATTTAGTCAGAAGACATGTGCTGGTGTAAAATTGCTGAGTTCTTGCTTGTGATGTCTTCTGAACTAAGTATATTGCAGCTTTCAGATCAATCCTGGAAATTCAGATGATGGGATGCGCAAATGCAAGAGAAAGTAATGAAGGCTGGTGGTGAGAGTGAGATAAGACGTTTCGGTCCATTAAGTCATATAGCCCAGTAAGTAAGATAAGACGTCTCGGTCCGTAATCTGCTCCTAGAGATTTTAAATCAGTAATCCAAAGCATGATTCCTGGTAAAATTTAATGCATCTATGTTTCGTTGTATTCCGATCAAAACTGAGCAACTCCCAACTGTGCTGGGGGGTTTTCCAGTTTTATGAGATGATGATTTGTTGTGACGCGTGAACTGGCTGTGTTATCGATATCAGCGGCAACAATGCCAGCGGACAAGCCATTCGTCAACGATAATCAACTTGCGCTCGAATGTGTACACGTGTTGTTTGTGTTATTTTAATATGTACATGCCTGTCTGCCAATGTGCACCGTGTAAATGCCCCGAGGCATTGCGTCCCCGTTGATGAAGACATAATATTTGCTGTCATCGATCAAAGTGAGTGAGAGGCAAAGCAAAAAGAAAACGGGATAATGAGGAAAATTTTCATTAAAACACAAGCTCAAGGCGTCCAAACAATAAATGTCAAGCATAACACTCTAGCCTCAACAGGCATTTATCAGAAATCTGACAGCATCTTGGAACTAGAGAAGCAAGGGACCGTATAAATTTCAAGGCAATGAACCAACAGCAGTCTTGTTCATCACTAATAATTGGCCAACGCACGGGCTGCCCGTGCGAAGATGCGTTTTTTGCAGAGTTCCCCGCAGT